GAGTACAAACAAAATCTGGGTTTACAGTGTAATGTCCAGCTATGGGATGCTAAAGCTCCGAGTGGGTATAATTCTGTTGTTGGTGTATTAACCCACATGTCATTACCCCCAGTTTCTGCTTTGCTACATAATCACTTGTCCTATCAAACTATAAAGAAAGGGCCAAACTTAGGGCAGTGCAATGCTGTGCAACCTGGAGTGGGGTGGGGTTTAAAGTGCTTAGTTTGCATTTGAAGAGACTGCATCAAAACCAGTTACTCTTGGATGTACCATTGGGAAGGATTGAAACGGATACCTGAGGAGTGATATTGAGGAATTCAGACCAAACCACTGCATTTCCTCTTTATATAGACCATAACTGATTGATTTCAATAGAAAAAAGAAGGATTTAAAATAATTAAATTACCCCTTTAATTTTAAAGTTTAACTTTAATCTTTTATATTTGCCTTTTTCTGTGAAAGCAAGCATATTGTCAAACCTCCTAAAAAAAGACCAGTGTGTTCATATTTTTGCACCTTCTTCAGTAAATCTGCAGTTCGAGGTGTAAAGTACAAAGTTAAATTCTAACCCTCCAAGTGTTAGAAATACAGTGTTCCCAAAGGTCAGCTGTTGGTTTTTGCAAACACAACATTTGAATGAAGTCAATGATACTTTTTTTAGAGATTAGAAACAATGCAGGCTCTTAAAACACTCATGAATAGATCCAGGTATGATTTAAAGACATAACTCTGTCTTTGAAAATAAAAGAAAAATTATCTCTAATATATAATACTATATTTATTTATGTATAACTTAATAATAGACTCATTCAATCATCTGTTTGTGATGGAAATCATGGTCTTGAAATAAACAATGTGTGGTTCTGGACCCTTGTTGATTGTAATGTTATTTTTGATTCTTTCAGTTTAAACCCTCACATAGTCCCTTATGCAAGCACATTTTATAAGGAAGGAGCCCAGCAGCAAAGTACCAGAAAGAATACTGAATAAACTGACATCTAAAAGAATCAAAACTATTTCATCCCCTCGGTTTAAGAAGAGAACAGTTGCTCTGGGATTATAGCAGCAGCTGAGAACAGGTGCGGCTCCACAGAGCTTCCACTAATTTAGCCTATTGGCTATTTGAAGGCATGCAGGCTCCTAAAATGAGTTGCTTTAGACCCTAGTGGAGACATTCAGACGTCTTCTGAGAACAAGCCTCAATGTTTGTCTTTTAACCTGGGTGTCAAGCTGAAAAAAGATGTAAATAAAGACTCTTTCATTGGGCTTTGGGCACTTTTTTCTGTTTAAACTACATGTTGTTTTACGTGAAGTCACCAGAACTTCTGAAAAGCAAACAGAAATTGTTTTCCCTTCTTTTTGAACATTTCCATCAAAACAGCTAATTTTCAGTCAACAAATTGTTGCTAAACACCCTCACACCATCATAAATGTCAAACCTTTTCCAAATGTACAAAGAATTCATTTTTAGATGTTGAAAGGTCGGCAGTGTAGACAGAGTGAGTGTTACCTCAGGGATGAAAACCTCTCTCACATCAGAGCATTTGTTTGTTTGAATTTCTTTAAATAGAATAATGTTTGTTGTCCTTTCTGCCACGTTAGGTCATCTTGATTAAAATTTCCTTTTAAGATTCACACTGAACTCAGTGTTACTGATGATAGAGTCGCTTTGTGTAATGGGCTTAGGTTCAAGGAGGAGGAGTAGCTTAGGCACATACCATAGAAAAGGCAGGAAATCTAAGGAATATCTTTCTCTAGAATCCATTTCTTAGTTAATTAGTCCTACATATTTAGCCACAAGTCAAGGATAAAAGTTCCACCTTTGATTACATGTGTGCAGGATCTGGGATATAGTGTTTCATTTTTTCTTGTTTTGTTTATAATCACTAACAGCAGGCATAAACCTCTATACAAGTTGTGCATCTGTTTCTCATTCCTCATTCTGCCATTATATGCTGCTTACATATGTTCACCATTAAGTAATCGACTTCTTAAACTGCCAAATTTGGTTTGGTTTGCTCTAGTAGTGGGTCAAACATGGACCTCGTTAGTTGTGGGTTTTCTCTAAAGCATTAGATTATTTAGTTAGGGTTAGAAAACTTCCATTCCTAACAAACACAAACAGGAACACCAAGAAAGACATATTTCACTTCAATAAATGGAACAAATTCAGAAGCAAAAATTTTATTTGAACCCCCCCCCCTCTGTTTACAGTATGTCAATCAGTCAAGTTAGAATTTTATTTCTAGTTAGACTGTAGACACTAAAAACAACATTTCAGTCAGTAGTAACAGTATTATAAGCACAGCTTTAGCTTTGACTTGAACCATTCATACTTGGTTCAAGTCTTATCGCTCTTGAAATCAAATGTTTTTTTATTTTCATTTTTTAACACTAGATCTTAGTCTTCATTATGTACACAGTTGAGCTGGGAGGTGCTAACTGGCTTAACTTATTTCTTCCTTGTTTACCTCAATGTTGTGCCAGTTCATAGTTAAAAAGAACAAGCCGAAAGTTCAGTTCACACGGATGAAAATGAATTAGCTCACATTCATAGTTCACTTTCTCAAAAAAAAAATTAACAGAGTTCACAAACCTGTAAATGAACTAGTTCAAGTTCATGTGGTAAATTAAGCCACAATCCTTCACAATAGAACCTCATATTTCACCATTTAAATGTGTGATCATAATATATAGAAAGAAATGGAAAATACTGGATACAGTCAAGGTACACTGAATGTGCAGTTAAGCTTTTATTTAGCCAAATTATACAGAACTTCAGAAACAAACAGGTATATTCAATAATTTCTTTCGTTCCTCATTCAGTATCAGATATTTCCCAAGACAGCTTGGATGCTTAACACGATGTGTCACTTTGAATTTGAGAAGTCGCGGCTGATGAATGGACTTTTTTGTAAGGTCCCATGGGCCCAGTTTGCACAAAATGCGAGTTTTTTTTTCTGTCTGAGTCTTCCTTTATTAGTTGATAAAACTCTGCCAAGTGATCTGTAAAACTGGTATCAGAAATACCAGTAGATGAGTCTTAATCACATAGACTAGTACTAGCAGTAGACCTGTTGGTCTTTCCTGTTGTGTGCAAGTGCCGTATCATTTCATTATCCAATGAAAAGTGTTGTTATAAATCAAATGTATGGTCAACTAACTGTTTTTGTATTTAATTGGTTGATTGATTAATTCAATTATTAGGTAAACACTTTTTTAATTATTGACCTAAAACTAGTGTCGCACCGATGCCATTTTTTGGCCCCGATACCGATACCCGATACCTGGCTGTGCAGTATCGGCCGATACCAATACCATAATAATATAAAATAATTGACATCATTGTTTGTCAAGCTGCTGCTTACCTTTGGGGAGCAGGAAAAAATCTAATATAAAGTGAATCCAGTAGAACTTTTTATTGCCTACCTGGAATGGGTGACAATAGTTGAATAAACTTATGGCTCTCAAAATGGTATCTGTGCCCTATTTGCTGGTACTCGCCGATACCGATACCAACATTTTAGGGCAGTATCGGGGCCCCGTCCGATACTGGTATCGGTATCGGTGCAAAACTACCTAAAACCAAGGCCAACAAAGCTGTTAGATAATCTAGTGATGGAAATTTGATTAAAGAATTAACACCAATCCCAAACAATTAAATAATGATGAATGAATATCTTTCCACTCTATGCTAACAATATCTTGGTGTAAATAAGCAAAGCTTGCACTAACAAATACACCATCTTAGCAGCTAAAAGACTTATTGGGAAAAACATTTTCTTGTGTGAACTAAAGTCACCCACACAACTCAGTAACAATTACAGCTTCATACAGCCTGATTTCATCATTTAAACATTTCAAATTTAATCCTGTAGAAGAGGTTTTTGTCCCACCTTTGACCTCACACTGGGTCATAGTTTTTGTCCTACATTTCCCTTTAAAACTCGCCTCTGCTAACAGCATAAACCCAACCTTTGTCAACACTTCTTTTGACCACAGCTTTCACATTCTACTTCCTGTTTTAAGAGGTTCCCTGCTGTTTACATCAAAGCCTTTTCATCCAGATGTTTTCTTTATAAACAGCTGGACAAAACAATGTTTGGGGTCTTGTTTTAAAAAAATATATCACACACATTACAGATATAAAATATGTAGATTGTGCTTGCCTTTCTACAGCCTTTGCAGAATATGGAGAATGCTGCACCAACATCTGTTTTTATTCTCTGATAGAGACCAAGAGTGGAAGTCCCTGACCCTTGACTAATTCCTTGAAGCAGCAGGAAGCTTTTGTGGTTTTGCCTTTGTGCAACTATGTCTCGCCCAGGCTTGAAATCATTACCTCATAGAAGGTTGGAGGGAAGATCATTACAACAGGGTTTTGTATATACAGAGAAGCAAGCCGTCTGATAGGTCATAGAGTATACTCTATGTTACACAAGAAGAGTTCGCTTCTTCTTTATATAGCAATCCAGAGGATAGGAGAATGTTTGTCATAGCAAGCCCTCTGCAGTTCGGAGAGACTCTGTGTTAAGCCTCTCTTGATTTATGCTGCAAGATTTGCCAGAGAAAATTATCTTGTTGAGTAGAAACATGCCCACAGTGCCAAGGTTCATGTGTTTAATCCGAAGACCACACAATAAATATTAATGAGTTGCAATAAAAGGTTTAACTAAGGAGTATAGATGACAGCAATGTAAATACATAATTAATAAATTACAAAAAAGACAAAAAAAACATTTTAAATATGATCAGAAAATGTGTTTAGTGTAAATGTTTTAAAGTTATTGATATGGCTGTTTGTTTTATTTTAAGCTCTGGACATCGAGAAATGGAATCTGGAGTGTTTGTTCAACAACACCGACCATCGCACTGACCTCAATGGAGTTGATCAACTCATAGTGAGGAGAGGCCAGCCATTCTCCATCAGTCTCTATCTTCGGTCTGGAAGCTACCAGCCAGGGATCAGCTCTCTTGACTTCATTGCAGAAACAGGTACAAAGTCTTTTAAATCAAATAGTTATTTTAATTATTGACTTTCCTTTAACAAGTAAAGATTCCCTACATTTGTTTTTGTCTAGTTAGCAGTACTTAAGGACTGGTTAATGTATTTTTGGTATATAAAATTGTGTTGAAATGTCAGGGTAATTCCTCACACTCAGGAAGTCAGTGTGTTCAGCCTCCTCTTACTGGGTGTGTTAGTTATTTGAGGATCCAGAGGGAGCAGTGTTAAAGGGAAGGTAGTGATCTAGTTCAGATACAGAGGTGTTTCCTTTTTGCAGCTAAAGCACGTTGCGGTGTACTTCCCCCAGTTCATTTGAAACCCACCTACTGTATGTATTTCTGTGCAGTTGTATTCAGGGTTTTCTGTTTTTGTAGATCTTGTTTGTGGAATAAAACTGCAGGAAAACTTTTGTCTCTTGCAAAAAGCTTGTAAAGGCAACAATTGTTCACCATCAAATTCAACTCTGATATCAGGAAATGTTGCTGCCCAGAAGGGAAATTTGTGCATACTGTTATCACAGATAATAGTATCAAGTTTTAAAACGTCTCCTTATTTTGATGGATTTGAGAGGGGCCCCCATTAAAGCCGGGGAAGATAAAGCACAGTAAAGTTACTTTACAGACGTCCTTCCAAAGTTCTTTGCCGTTAAGTGGATAAGCTTTTATCTATTGCGCTGTTATGCTGAAAATGCATGTCTGAACAGAGTCAGATATGGTTAAACCTTAGACACTGGGGTAAGTGTATCTTGCCTATCAAATGTTTACATACACTCATAATGGGCATGGATGTCATGTGATTCAAAGATGTCACGTTTGGATGTTCATATAAAAATCTATTGTGGATTTTTCATGTGTGTAATCAAAGAGGCTCAAATATAAATATAAACTAGCATCTGAACTAAATTGTATTTTAGCTTATAAGAAAGGGAAAACCATGTGGTTTTCTGGCCTAGACCAGGTTTTGATGGGGCAAGGCGCTTTTATCACATCTTGTGTCAGTCTTAGCATATATTTGTGAAGATTTTCCAGTGGATTGTGATGACAGAGTCCCATACCTGTTAACTTGAGGTATCCCTCCTTCATTCCAGGCAATGAAATAGGATCACTGCTAGTGAAAGCAGCCCTCGGCATGATGGTACCATCACTGCATTTGACAGTCGGTGCAGGGTTCTTAGAGATGGATTAACTGTCAAAACTGTGACACATCTAAGTAGAACAATGTGTCAAACATATATCAAAGCTGGATTCAGACGCTTCCTGAATAAGCACCAGAAATACCAGGATCTTATTGACTCTGTGTCATTACAATAAAAAAGTGAACTATAGCTTTTAAAACCAGCCAACATCAGATTGGAAAACTGCTGAAATATCTTTTCAGAATTAGGCCAGGACCTTGCTCATTTATATAAAAGCTGTTTGCTTATGTACCACACATTCAGACTCTATATACCTGAAATCTGTTTGGTAACGCCTACTGTTTGGTTGTTGATGAAATAAAAAGCTAATGCAGAAAACATTTTAATAAGTTTTTGCTTGCTATGATCCTAAAGGATAAAGCCATTGCAACATCAAAATCCCATTATTTTTGCATTATTTATCAATATTGCTCCACATAATGTTTTCCTAATGTAGTTCAACTCTCCTGGAAGTGTAGGGTTGACTTTGAGCCTGTATGTATAAAGCAGAAACTGTGAATAGAGATAACTTGCTGCACTTGTCAAGGTGAGAACCTATGTATTGTTTTACAAATTCATTTCAGCTGTGTATTGTATCATCATCCCACCTTTGTCTTAAATTAAAATGAAAAAGCCCTGAATCGATATGACATTATCTCCCACTGACAGTATTTGTGAACTTTGACTGGAAATGCAAAATTTCCTTTTTCAATGATTTTCTTTTCTCAAAGATTTGGTTACTATTTCTCCCTCTTAACAATTTTCTTGATAACATGCAGGTCCTCAGCCCTCTGAGCAGTATGGTACCAGGGCCCGTTTTGGTGTCTCTCCTAATATTGACACTTCTACCTGGAGTGCCGCAGTAACCAGCCCTCCTGGGAATACGGTGGCCCTCTCTATCTGCTCTTCTCCCAAAGCTCCTATTGGCCGCTACACTCTTACCCTGGGCCAGTCAGGGAAGATTGAGTTCATTCTTCTGTTTAATCCCTGGTGTCCAGGTGGGTAAACATTACCCCTCAGTGAATATGTCTATCAAGTAAAGTATCTTGTAGAGATAACAAGAGCTTAGCTGATCATGTTTCATGTAGACATGTGTTAAGGATTAGAGCTAAGAGAATAAATCATGCCAAACGATTTTCAGTATTTTGTTGCTTGATACTAAGATTGAGTCACTCTTTTAAGAATTCAAACCTAAGCATAGCAGTTTGGACTTGCATTGGGACATTATTTGTAATTTGTCTTGGCAACAGCGGATGAGGTGTATATGGACAATGAGCAGAACCTGGCCGAGTATGTTCTTTCTCAGGATGGGATCATCTTTCGAGGCAGCAGCAAACACCCCATACCCACTCCCTGGAATTTTGGCCAGGTACCAACACCAACACTGACAGCATCAACCTCTCTTCATCACTATAAACAATCAATCAAATGAGGCAGGATTTTGTCAGAGTGTTGATTAAACTTGAGTTAGACTTATTACAGTGAGAGGAAAATATTTTCTGATAAGGTAACCTAATTTTTAAAAAAACACCTCCAAGCCTGTGCGCATATCTTGCTCTGTTTTTTGTCTGCTTCCTCAGAACCGACGTATTTAGGGAAGTTTTGTTCCACCACGTCTACTGGATCCTTTTCTAAGGGGGCACAAATCTAATGGGTGTGTTATTTTCTACAGTTTGAAAGTGGAATCCTGGATATTTGTCTTAGGATTCTGGATATGAATCCTAAATGCCTGCGTAATCCTGGAAAAGACCATTCAGGGAGAAGAAATCCCATCTATGTAACCCGAGTACTGAGTGCAATGGTATGACCTCTCCATTTTATTGATTATATATTTCTATAGCCAATGTTCATATATATTCAACTCTTTGTTGTATGTTTCCATGACACACTTAGATGTTAGATTTCAGACGTGAAAAATTTTAGACTATTTTTGTTGTGTGGCAGGTAAATTGTAATGACGACAAAGGGGTGTTGCTGGGGAAATGGTCTGACGGATATGAAGGAGGGGTCAGTCCTTTGTTTTGGCGTGGCAGTGTGGAGATTCTGCGAAACTGGGACACTCAAGCCTGTCAGCCCGTTCGCTACGGACAGTGCTGGGTGTTTGCTGCTGTGGCCTGTTCGGGTAAGACAGGAGAGGCTGTATGGCTAGAGAGAATCATTATTTTTGTCTAGCTGAACCAAACAGTATATCACCACATATGCATAATCCCCCTTCAAACATGACACTTTATCTTATGTCTTTGTAGTTTCCAGAGCACTGGGCATTCCCTGTCGAGTCATAACCAACTTTCTGTCTGCCCATGACACCAACAGCAACCTGGTGATTGAACGTTACGTCAATGAGAAAGGGGATTCCATTCAATCTAGAGAAATGATTTGGTTAGAACTTACTTGCATTATATTTAACACATGGTTGAGAAAATTATGAGCACTCACAGCTAAGGACAGCACTGGGTTGCTCAAACAGAGCAAAAACACCTGTTCAATGTGTTATATATCTGCAGGAATTACCATTGCTGGGTGGAAAGTTGGATGACTAGGCCAGACCTCAAACCTGGCTTTGATGGCTGGCAGGCTAGTGACCCCACTCCTCAGGAAAAGAGTGAAGGTACAGCTTTTGAAATATGTATGCATAGTAAATCTAGTGTCATAGTTTCAATTCTGAGAATTTATTTGAATTCTCAGGAGTGTATTGCTGCGGCCCCATCCCTGTCAAGGCCATCAAGGAGGGGGAGCTTACCTTCAAGTACGACGCCCCTTTTGTTTTTGCTGAGGTCAATGCTGATATTGTCACACTCATGAAGAAAAAGGATGGTAGCACTTCAGAGGTCACCACCACTGGATTGGTGGGCCAGAAGATCAGCACCAAGAGTGTTGGCAGTGACACCAGAGAGGACATCACTCACCTCTACAAGTACCCTGAAGGTACCGAAAGTGGCATTCAGAATAAACTAAAATAAATAATTCTGTTAAAGATCTGTTGACACCGAATGCAAGTGCAGGAAATTTTTGTTGTGGTTTGTCTGGCATTGGTTGCTTGACGTTTTGGCTCCCTGTATTGACTACATTAACACATTGTCTGTCCAACATCCAGCCTCTACTGTGGCAGAGTAAAGCACCCATCTGCAGTAAATTGTTGTATAAAAAAGCTTTGTTTTTCTGCACTCCATCTTCCTACGTTTCTTAACTCCTGCATAATTTCGCTTTGTTCTATCTGCAGTAACACTCTTTGCACTAATTGCTCAATTTATGTCAC